ACCAATACCATGATTTCTGTTTCGAGAGAAGATAGATCCTTAGCTGTTTAGCCACTGTAATGGTTTTGGTTATAGATAGTCAAATGTAATCCTGACTGGTTGAGCAGGGTTGATCACAGATCGTTCAGAGCTATGAGCACCAAACAAGGCATCAAGTCGTGGGTATCTGGAGTCTAGAGTCAGGTTACCAGGCAGGCTCAGGAACTTAGAACCCAAGTCCCCGCAGTGAGGCAAGGACTGGAATACAGGGGTGCTGAGCCCCATTGCTCAGCCAGAAACATGGTAGATGAGTTTGGAGGAGGAGGAGGAAGTGCCTCCATCTAATCTGATAGGCTGGGGCATGTTGGGGACAGAGGCATGGGTCTCCAGCGGGACAAGAAGGGCTCAAACTCCCTGACACCTGACTGGATCTGGGGTTTTCACTCCACTGCATGTCCTGCCCACTTTTTTCCTCGACAGATCTAGTGTCTTGTTCCTCTGATTCTTTCTCATGAGGCCTTATTTTTACAACCTCCCTTGGTCCACTTGCGGCTCAGAGTAAGGTAGACAGCTGATAGGGCACCAAGTTTAAAACTCCAAGGGGCTGTAGCCCCTTCTCCCTGGCCACCCTCTCCGTGCATAAACATTTGCTGAGCGGGTGACTGAATGCATGAACGAGCATATCCTGCAGATTCCACCCTCTCACTATCTGTGCTAATCCATAATAATTTCTATTTGACTTTGGAATGCATTATGTAATTTGAATTCTGCAAATTTACCTTCCTAATTATGTTCTTCTTTGACTAACACAGAACTTAATTTGCACAGATTGAGTGATGGTGGGGGGAGGTTTGCTAGGTGTTGGGATCATTAGGTGGCTAATCCATACATTGGCAGTCAAGAGTTGTCTATATTGGGAAGGTCAACTAGACTGATACTTGAAGCAGGGGTGGCGCGTGTGTGTATGTGTGGGCCTGGCATCTTGCTTCTGCATTAGCCAATCTGTGAAAACTGAGTCCCATAAAAACCCTGCCTGCCAGTTTGGTCTTGGCTTAGGCTCTCTGGTCTATCCTGCCACTGTTCTGAGAGTGACATGGTAGCCCATGGTTTCAAAGGCCCAGCATTGAATTAGATTTACACCTGGCCTTGCTCAGACTTCAGGACCTCAATGCTAGCAGCTAGGTTCCCAGGTGAGTATCCTGGGTACAGGGATACTGCATTTTCCCTCCACTTGCCCAGTGCATAAAAGGATGAATGAATGGTTGGATGGATGGATGACTGGATGGGTGGATGGATGGGTGGATGAACTCTTTATATAACAGGTTCCCAGTCTCAAATCTCAGTTCTTTAGAAATGATTGCTGTTTATTGACTCCTCTACTGTCCACCCACCTGGATCTTCACTGACTGAACCTTCTGTTGGGGCTGGGTCTGAAGTTCAACAGGACCTTGATTAACGGGCTCTACTTTGCCCTGGAAAGGATCCCAAGCTCCCAATCTGGTTGGAGATTTTTGGCCCTACGTGCCAGGGCCTGGGATGGCTGGTTCCTGGTCTTGTTCTAATGTTTAGATGTCGATGGGGCCTGGCCTGACCACGTGCCTTTAAGCTGGCAGGTCTCACCCCAGCTGCACAGTCAGCATTCAGTACAAATGAACCACTGGAACTCAACTCATTCATAGTCTTTGTCCTGAACCATTCGCTTTGATGTAGCTAGCTTGGCTTTTGTTCCTACTGTCTTCTAGGTATCTTGGCTCCCACCCCTATATTAACCGTCAGACTGATTTATGATTCCACGCCATTGGCTGTGATCTCATGGTTCCCTCCTGGACAATGGGTCACAACTCACTTCCTAACGCACAATCGTGTCACTGGGCTCTGCCTTTGCTCCTCGATGATGGTTCACTCCAATTTCTCTGAGTACATCACCCATATCTGCTTTTGATTAACATTGGCCAAATCCAGGACCCTATATCCACGGCATCTTCTAGCCTTCTCTCTCCTGGGTCTATCTGGCCTCAGGAAATAGAGCAGGATGTTCATACCGATGAATTGACTTGGAACCTTAACACCAGGTTCCCCTGATCTCTCTTGGCAACTGTTATTCATCAAACATTGATTAAATACTGACTACATGTCCAGCACTGTGCTGGGCACTAGGGATTTAATGGTGACCTGAACATAAGCAGTCATTACACTGAACCCCATTGGAGAGGCGCACATGTAAACAGCAAGTGCAATGTAGCAAGTTAAAGCCAGAACAGAAGTACCCGAGCTCTATGAACCAGCACAGCAGCTCCCAGCAAGGCAGAGTCAGAAACGGAATAAGGAAGATAAAATTGATGCCAGATACCAAATGGTTTCCGACTAGAAAGCCTAGGGAATTGTCACTGAGTTTCCTCTTGGGAAACCAGACCCACTTCCTCCTCTGGGTGGGGGGTCGGGGGTTGGCGGGGGGCTGTGGGGGAAGAGGCACTGATAGCCCAGGTCTTCCCCTGTCTTTACCAACCATAAGTGCCACATGAGCTGAGCTGATAATGAACTATGGACGGCCAGCCAGGCACTCTCCGCAGCTACCTGGGCACAGAGGAAGACCGTACCAAGCCTTACCATCTGAAAGGAGAAGGATTGCTCCAAAATGAATGTGCTGTTCCTACCCCACAAGAGAGTTGGAGGAATTGCTGAACACACCATGACTGCAAAGTCTGGCCCGAGATAATGTGGAAAGGACTTTTGAAGAACTCCCTGATTCTAAGAAAAAATTAGAAGGAAGCCGTCATCTCCGTGAGATAAGGTGAAAAATCAAGACACAAATAGCTAAGAAGTCCTGGAGCAAGGCAGCGTCAGAATCAAGAGGAAAGTGGATGACACAAATTAACATGAAGGTTCGTTCCCTTCTCCTCCCCCATCACTGCTCACAGCTCACACTCAGGGCATGACACCCAGAAAAATGACCTCACCCGTTTGAACTGTGGGAGAAGAGAAAATCTAAAAGATTTTGTCATTCTGTCCAAATGATAGAATTTATTTGTTCAAAGATATTACATATACTTAAACAAAATTTTTTTTTAAGAATTTATTTGGGCAGGTTTGATGGCTCACGCCTGCAATTCCAGCACTTTGGGAGGCTGACGCAGGCGGATCACCTGACGTCAAAAGTTTGAGACCAGCCTGGACAACATGGTGAAACCCCGTCTCTAATAAAAATACAAAATTCGCTGGGTGTGGTGGCAGGTGCCTATAATACCAGCTACTTGGGAGACTGAGGCAGGAGAATCTCTTGAACCCAGGAGGCAGAGGTTGCAGTGAACCAAGATGGTACCATTGCACTCTAGCCTGGGTGACAGAGTGAGACTCCATCTCAAAATAAAAAAAATTTATTTGGAAAGAATTAGTTAATTACCAAGTATAATAGCAAAGGAAGTAGTGTCAGAAAGTGGTGGAGGGGTCTATTTTAATGAATAGATGAGGCTTACTGGAGAAGAGAACATAATTGTTTTATGAAAATTATGCCTAATGTCCTCAAGAAAGTGCTTTTCCTTCCTCTTCCTGTCTGGATGGGCTCCCCTGTACCACATACTCGCTTTCTGGAGGTGGCATTCCCTCGGAACGCAAGCTGGGCAGGGCACAAGGCAAGAGATGGGCTTATCAATCAAGGAAGGTCCAAGGCTGCTTACAGTGGCTCACTCGTGTAGTCCTAGCACCTTGGGAGGCCAAGGAAGGCCGATCACTTGAGCTAAGGAGTTTAAGACCAGCCTGGCAACATGGCGAGACCCCGTCTCTACAAAAAATACAAAAATTAGCTGGACATGGTGTCACGTGCCTTTAGTTCCAACTGTTCGGGAGGCTGATGTGGGAGGATTGATTGAGCCCAGGGGGTTGAGCCTGCAGTGAGTTGTGATTGAGCCACTGCACTCCAGCCTGGGCAACAGAATGAGACTCTGTCTCCAAATAAATAAATAAAAGAAGGTCCAAAAATACGATCTTAATGATACTTGGTATGTTGTTTATTTCTTTGTCAAAACCTTTTGTGTTAGCCATCGTTCTCCTAGAAACAGAGACTAAAAAGAAATTTAAAGCAGAAAGGATTTATTAGAAGAAAGGTCTGTGGGAGAAGCAGGGAGGGAGACAGAGAAAGTGAGGAGGGCCACACAATCCCAAATGAAGGGGAGAGGAAAGGAAGTTGGGTGGGGGCCTGGAGCAGTGGCTCACACCTGTAATCCCAGCAATTTGGGAGGCCGAGGTGAGTGGATCACTTGAGGCCAGGAGTTCGAGACCAGCCCGGCCAACACGGAGAAACCCCCATTTCTAATAAAAATACAAAAATCAGCCAGGTGTGGTGGCGCAGGTCTGTCATCCCAGCTACTTGGGAGGCTGAGGCAGGAGAATTACTTGAACCTCCGAGACAGAGGTTACAATGAGCTGAGATCATGCCGCTGCACTCCAGCCTGGATGTCAGAGTGAGACCGTCTAGAAGGAAGGAAGGAAGGAAGGAAGGAAGGAAGGAAGGAAGGAAGGAAGGAAGGAAGGACGGAAGGAAGGAAGGAAGGAAAGGAAGGAAGGAAGGAAGGAAGGAAGGAAGGAAGGAAGGAAGGAAAGGAGAGAGGAAGGAAGGAAGGAAGGAAGGAAGGAAGGAAAGGAAGGAAGGAGGGAAAGGAAGGAAGGAAGGAAGGAAAGAAGGAAAGAAGGAAGGAAGGAAGGGAAGGACAAGTTGGGTGGGATCTAGTTTATGATGGGTAAACAAAAAATTTTTTTAAAAAGAAGAAATTTGGATGGGAGTGTCCTGGCCTCCCATGCAGTCTAAGGAAGGTTTGGGAAGGCTCTTGGAGAATTCTCAAGCTCAAGTCATCATCGGAGGAGCCCTGCACCTCCCATGAACAGGCTGCCTTAGTGTCTCTGAGGTGTTCAGTTGATGGCTGAGAGCTGCAAAATTGGGATGGCAAAGCCAGCGTCTGGGGCCCTTGGTCTATTATAGGCTGTATTACTCAGGGTTCTCCAGAGAAACAGAACCGATAGGGAATGTGTAGACATAGAGAAAGATATTTATTATGGGGGATTGGCTCACACAATGATGAAGACTGAGAAGTCCCACAGTCTGCCATCTGCAAGCTGAAGACCCAGGAAAACAGGTGGTATAGTTCCAGTCCAACGAAGCCCGGAGGCCTGAGAACCAGGGAAACCAATGGCATAGGTCCCAGTCTGAATCCTAAGTCCCCCAAACCAGGAGTGCTGATGCCTGAGGGCAAGAGATGATGCTCCAGCTCAAGCAGAGACAGCGAATTCACGCTTCCTAAACCTTTTTGTTCCATTTGGGCTCTCAATGGATGGCATGATGCTCACCTGAATTGGTGAAGGCAAACATTATTCAGATTCAAATGCTAATCTCTTCTGGAAATACCCTCATGGACATACCTAGAAATAATGTTTTACCAGCCATCTGGGCATCCCTTAACCTAGTCCAGTAGACACATAAAATTAATCATCACACATGGAAGTCTGATCACTCCACATCTCTTCATAGTGATGGTGGCTCCAGTTTCCAGTCCAAATAAGTGTACGTGTTAGGAGGTTTCTGCACAGCTTTTGGGTGTGGTAGGCAATCGAAGAGATCAAGTTTGCATGCTGGAATATTTCAGTTGCTGAGATATTTCAATGGTTTGTGAAGACCATGGGGAAATAAACATTTAAAATTAAAAGTGACTTGGAAAATCAAGGCAGAGTTTCTCAGCAGTAGTCCCCTGTTGACAGAAATATTTGGGACACTTGTTACAATTTCTTTATTTCTGCCCAGACTTATTTAATCAAACCTTGGAGGTGAGAACCAGAGCTCTAATACACACCAATGCTATATTTATAGTTAGCATCAAAGTAAAGGGAAGTTTGAGGTGATTTACACCAAATCCAAACTCAATGATATCCGAGTAAGTGAAATTTGACTCTATTTTAATATTGCAATCTCCCTACATTTTTCTTGCCACTGATAGCTACATCTACCCTTTTGCTTTAAATTCCTTCTATTTTCCAATCCCTTCTGTCAGACACCGAAAAAAAAATGGTTACAATATTCTTAGAAAACTGTGCTTCACAGAAAGCAGCGAGGTTACTCAATTGTTTCTCCTCTGTTAATTTGAGAATCTTAAATTATGCATGTTATTTTGCACACATTTGCATGTTCAATTCACATGCCTGAGTTATTCGTCTACAAGATAAAACCAAGCATAGTAATTCAAGTAACCTGTGTCTGATTTCTCTTCACCCAAATTTCAGGGCTAATCGAGTTGCAGTTAAAGAATGGATAATTAAATCACTTGGGAAGCGCAGGGGAGTGCTGGTGGATAGGAAAGATGGGGTTACAGAGCCAACTCCTGCCTCCATCCCGTCTGGATTGCCAATTCTTTCTCCTTCCATGCCCTGCTGGATTTCATAACCTCCATGAGGCCCCTTTCCCAGAACGGACTCACTGTCCTGGTTACAACCCTTAAATGTAGCTGGGCAGGAAGGCCAGGAGTGGAGTTTGTCCTCTGCCTGGGGTGGATAACCTTGAACATAAAGAAACCACCACAATACAAATGGCCCTGAAATCTGAACCAATGCCACCGCAATATGCAGATGAGAAAGTCAGAACCATTCATCCATTGGCTGACTGCCGGCCTGACGTCACAATGGCCCAGCCCGGCGTGGCCAGAAGTGCTGTGGGCAAGTTTCTGGACAAGTTGAAAGGCTTGTGTGTGTGGGTGCGTGGGGTGTGTGTGTGTGTGGTGGCGGGGGAGGGGTCTTTTTTTTTTTTTTTTAAATCAGCTGGTGCTGGTTTCCTGCATTTCCTGTGTTAGAGGGGGGAAAAAGGTGTTTTTGTACAGCAAGAACTGATGAACTCAGGGCTGAAGGGCATTTTGTTCTCTGTGGCAGCTCTATCCCTTTCCTTAGAGGAGATCTATGTTAGAAACAAAAATGTCATAGGGGAAGGCTGTGAATTCTAAATGAACTGTGGGGACCTCACGAACCTCTTCAGCTTAGTGGTTTCCAGGAAGCCCCAGGCTGAGCCAAACTTTGTGACTTAGCTGGTGTGAGTCTTTGGCTGTGATCTTGACCACAAACGTCAAGATATGCAGGCATGGGAGGCTGGGGGCCTTTTTTATTTTTCTCTACTTCACTTTGCCAGGTTCAAGGCAAAGACAGAATCCAGTCCTCTGATTTGTGAACTTCTGACGATCCCTCGCCCTCAATGTGCTGGTGGTAGGAAAATGTCCTCTTTTCTTTTCTCTTTTCTTTTCTTTTTTTCTTTCTCTTTCTCTCTTTTTCTTTCTTTCTCCCTCCCTGCCTTCCCTCCCTCCCTCCTTTTCTTTCTTTCTTTCTCTCTCTCCCTTCCTTCCTTCCTTCCTTCCTTCCTTCCTTCCTTCCTTCCTTCCTTCCTTCCTTCCTTCCTTCCTCCCTCCCTCCCTCCCTCCCTCCCTCCTCCCTCCCTCCTCCCTCCTCCCTTCCTTCCTTCCTTCTTTCTTTTTTTTTTCTTGGAGTCTCGCTCTGTCGCCCAAGCTGGAGTGCAGTGGCCGGATCTCTGCTCACTGCAAGCTCCACCTCCCGGGTTCACGCCCTTCTCCTGCCTCAGCCTCCCGAGTAGCTCGACTACAGGCGCCCGCCACCACGCCTGGCTAATTTTTTTTTTTTTTCGTATTTTTGAAGACACGGGGTTTTACCGTGTTAGGCAGGTGGTCTCAATCTCCTGGCCTCGTGATCCGCCCACCTCGGCCTCCCAAAGTGCTGGGATTACAGGCGTGAGCCACCGCGCCCAGTCTTTTCTTTATCTCTCGCTCTCCCTCTCCCTCCCTCCCTCCCTCTCTTCCTTCCTTCCTTCCTTCCTTTCTTTTTTCTCCTGACAGAGTCTTGCTTTATCACCCAGGCTGGAGTGCAGTGGCACAATCTCAGCTCACTGCAACCTCCACCTCCCAGGTTCAAGCCATTCTCCTGCCTCAGTCTTCCAAGTAGCTGGAATTACAGGTACCCACCATCATGCCTGGCTAATTTTTGTATTTTTAGTAGAGATGGGATTTCACTATGTTGGCCAGGCTGGTCTCAAACTCCTGACCTCAGGTGATCCACCCACCTTGGCCTCCCAGAGTGCTGGGATTACAGGTGTGAGCCATCGCACCCTACCTAGAGAGAGATAGATTTCTTATGATGTTATTTGAGCACCTGGATCCAGCTGGACCTGAAACTACAACTCCTGCACATTTTTGTTAATGGAGCCAATACATTTACATTTTGATGTAAATTGGATTGAGCTGAATTTCTGTAAAGTCAGTAAAAGAGTTCTCGCTCATACCTCCAACTTCCCCTGGGCCCCTCACTGTGTGGTTTCTTACTAGTTTCTTCTGCTTCTGTCATAGTTGGTGGGGGAGGGAAAGAGTCTATGTGATGGCATGTGGGTGATAGATAGGGGAGTTGAGTCATGGTGGAGTACAGCCCAGGGATCAACCTAAGGAGACTGGGGTCAGATAGGACTGGGCAACGAATATCCTCTTTTGAGCCTCAGTGCTCCCATCTGTAACATGGGAAGAGAGACAGTCCTTCCCTCTTGGGGTTGTCTGCAGGTGGGATGTAGTGTCTGGGGCATAATAAGTGCTCAAGAAAAGTGGCTAGTAGATAGTCCTAGATGGGGTCTTCTCCAGGCCTCCAGTGCAATGTAGGGACAATGGAGGGGAAGGGAAGGTTTTTAAAACCTTCCCTGGGGTTTGTAACCAACAACTCTGGGCCTCTGTTGTCACTGCCAACCACAAGCACCTGCTGAGCAAACGGCATGCACCTGTCACCCGTCACTCCGAGAAGGGGCTCCAATCCAGCCAGAGCAGGCAGCCTCTATTCTAGGCCAGATCCTGGCTGTGTGCAGCGTCTGTGAGCTCGCCCACCTGTTCTGAAACCCAGCTGGGCTCCAGTCTCTGCCTGTCCCACCTCCCACCCCCAGCTTCCTTCCTGGAGCAAATGTTGATCCGACGCTTTTCATGTCCCAGGACTGTGCTAGGAACCACAGGGATGCAAGGGCAGAAACCCAAGTTAGCGAGTTTCATACTTTGTGCCATGCTGTGTGCCCAGGGTAGGCATTGCATATGCTTGTCTCAGCCACACAAAGCCTGAGAGGTGTGCTAAACACACCCGTTTTATAGAGGCTCAGACTGAAAGCACTGCTTGGTGAAGGTGGTGGAGTTGATACAAACACTGTGTGTTTCTTTTCTTTTCCTTTTTCTTTTTCGAGACAAGGTCTTGCTCTGTTGCCCAGGGTGGAATGCAGTAGTGTGATCTAGGCTCACTGCAACCTCAAATTCCTGGGTTCAAGTGATTGTCCTGCCTCAGCCTCCTGAGTACCTGGAACTACAGGTATGTGGCACCACACTCGGTTGATTTTTAAATTTTTGGAGATGGGGTCTCATTAGGTTGCCCAGGCTGGTCTCAAACTCCAGGCCTCAAGCAATTATCCCACCTCTGCCTCCCAAAAAGCTAGGATTACAGGCGTGAGCCACCGTGCCTGGCCTTGTGTGTTTCTTCAAAGCCCATACTCTTTAATATGCTGCCTGTTACAATAAAGATTACATTGTGAAATGCTGTTACATTTAAAAACCTAGTGCGTAGCTGCCTGAGGTGACTCATGCCTGTAATCTCAGCTATTTGGGAGGTTGAGGTGGGAAGATTGCTTGAGCCCAGGAGTTCGAGGCTGCAATGAGCTATAATTGAGCCACTGCACTCCAACCTGGGTGACAGAGTTAGGCCTTGATTAAAAAAAAACAAAAAAACAACATAGTGCCTAGTACATAGTAAATGCCAATAAATAGTAGATATAAATCGTACTTGGATTCTAGCTCTCACATAGCCACGGTATGTAGAGTAGGGAGTATGTAGATGTTAATACATCTACATGGTATATAGATACATTAACAACTGACTCAAAAACAGAAGGCAGGGCTGGGTGCGGTGGCTCACACCTGTAAGCCCAGCACTTTGGGATGCAGAGGCGGGCGAATCTTGAGGTCAGGAGATCGAGACCATCCTGGCTAACACGGTGAAACACTGTCTCTACTAAAAATACAAAAAATTAGCTGGGCGTGGTGGTGGGCACCTGTAGTCCCAGCTACTCGGGAGGCTGAGGCAGGAGAATGGCGTGAACCCGGGAGGCGGAACTTGCAGTGAGCTGAGATCGTGCCACTGCACTCCAGCCTGGGCGACAGAGCAAGACTCCGTCTCAAAAAAAAAAAAAAAAACCAAAAAAAAACAAACAGAAAGCAGAAAGCAGAGCTGTGCAATAGACATAGACTGTGTGAACCACATATGTAATGAAACATTTTCTAGCAGCCACATTAAAAAGAAACAGGTGAAATTAATTCTTACATTTTATTTAGCCCAATATTCCTCAAATATTATAATGCTAACATGTAATCAATATAAAACTATTATTATTATTATTATTATTATTATTATTGAGACAGGGTCTCATTTTGTCACCCAGGCTGGAGTGCAGTGGTGTAATCACAGCTCACTGCAGTCTTGACCTCCTGGGCGCAGTCCTCCCACATCAGCCTCCTGAGTAGCTGGGACTACAAGAATGTGTTACCATACTCAGCTAATTTCTGTGTCTTTTGTAGAGACAGGATTTTGCCATGTTGCCCAGGCTGGTCTCGAACTCCAGGGCTTAAGTGAGCTGCCTGCCTCGGCCTCCCAAAGTGCTGAGAATACAGGTATGAGTCACCACACTTTGCATTAAAACAAATTTTTTCTGCTTTTTTGTTTTGTTCGTTTGTTTGTTTTTGTTTTTTTGAGACAGAGAGTCTCACTCTGTTGTCCAGGCTGGAGTGCCATGACCTTGATCTTGGCTCACTGCAACCTCTACCTCCCAAGTTCAAGTGATTCTCCTGCCTCAGCCTCCTGAGTAGCTGGGATTACAGGCGTGTGCCACCACACCTGGCTAATTTTTGTATTTTTAGTAGAGACAGGGTTTCACCATGTTGTCCAGGCTGGTCTCGAACTCCTGACCTCAAGTGATCTGCCTGCCTCAGCCTCCCAAAGTGCTGGGATTACAGGCGTGAGCCGCTGTGTCTGGCCAAAAAAAAAAGTATTATTACTATTTTATTTATTTATTTTTGAGACGGAATTTCACCTTGTTGCCCAAGCTGGAGTGCAATGGTGTGATCTCTGCTCACTGCAATCTCCGCCTCCCGGGTTCAAGCGATTCTCCTGTCTCAGGCTCCAGAGTAGCTGGGATTACAGGCACGCGCCACCACACTTGGTTAATTTTTGTATTTTTAGTAGAGATGGAGTTTCATCATATTGGTCAGGCTGGTCTTGAACTCTTGACCTCAGGTGATCCTCCCGCCTTGGCCTCCTAAAGTGCTGGGATTACAGGCGTGAGCCACTGCGCCCAGTCAAAAAAAATTATTTATAAGACATTTTACATTCTTTTTTTTCCGGACGAAGTCTTTGAAATCTCTATGTAATATAGAGCATCCCAATTCAGGTGCTAAATTTTTATCAGAAATACTTAACCTGTATTTAGATCTCATAAAATTTATGGTTGAATAAATTCAAGTGTAATTTGCATACCCAAGGTGCTCCAAGCAAAGTTTTCCAATAATTGAATGCAGTATTAGTTTTATAGCTTAAATATAAAGGTAAATAAAATTAAAAATTCAGTTACACAGTCCCACTTGCCACATTTCAGTGCCCAATAGCCATATTTGGCCATGGTGTTAAGCAGGGTGGTAGAAAGGACGCCTGTGAGGTAGAGGTTTCCAGGTGCGACTTCAGGGGTTGATATTTAGTGGGGAGAAAATACATGTCAAAACACATGGACAAAAAGAGGCAAATTCTGCAGTTGCCTACCCAATATCTGTAACCCCTTTTCCTTAGCGACTCAATTTAGATTTTTGTTAGGAGTAGCAATAGACCAAATTAAAAAAAAAAAAAAAAAAAAAAAAAAAAAGAGGCCGGGCGCAGTGGCTCACGCCTATAATCCCAGCACAGCCGAGGTGAGCAGATCATCTGAGGTCAGGAGTTCAAGACCAGCCTGGCTAACATGGTGAAAACCCATTTCTACTAAAAATACAAAAAATTAGGTGGGCATGGTGGTGCACGTCTGTAATCCCAGCTACTCAGGAGGCTGAGGCAGGAGAATTGCTTGAACCTGGGAGGCAGAGGTTGCAGTGAGCTGAGATCGCACCATTGCACTCCAGCTTGGGGCAACAAAAGCGAAACTCAAAAAAAAAAAAAAAAAAAGAAAGAAAGAAAAACCACATTTGTGAGCTTCCTTTACAGATAGTGTT